CATGGTGAAAATTTTATGTAAATCGAATAATAAATGCCACTTTTATAGACCAAAAACCTTGAAAAGTGACTTGTAGAAAATCGTCTTTTTGTCTGCAACCGTACTAGTTAGAAACCATTTTCTGCTATCTGTATGATCGTATGGGTTCAATCTATTTGTTGATTGGAATCAAATATCATAATTTTAAGAATATTAAAAATCAGACTCATTTGAATAAAATATCTGTTTTGAAGGCTAAAAATACAGTTTTTGCCCAAATGACGTTACTTCCGGTGATAATGAAAATCTTAAATTACTTGTATGAAATCGTAAATGGCATTAGGTATCACATACTGAAAGTTTTATGAAAATCGAATAATAATTGACACTTTTATGGACCAAAAACCTTGAAAAGTTACCTGTTGAAAATCGTCTGTTTCTCGGCAACTGAAAAAGTTAGAAACCATTTTGGGATATCTATATGATCGTATGGGTTCATTCTATTAGTTGATTGGAATCAAATATCAAAATTTTAAACAAATAACAAATACGACTCATTTGAATAAATTATTGGTTTTAATGGCTCTAAATACAGTTTTTGCCCAAATTACGTCATTTCCGGTGACATTGAAAATGTTGAATTGGCTTGACCTAGTTAATATTGACATTACGCATCAAATGTTGTCACTTTTATGGAAATCTAATAATAATTGACTCTTTTACAGGCAAACTAGCGTAAAAAGTCACTCATGCAAAATTGCCCATTTCTCGGCAACTGCTCATATTACAAACTAATTTTCACATACATTCTCTTCGTATGGATTGTTGCTACGAGTTTATGAAAGTTACGAAGAAATATTTTAAAATATTAAGACGCTGAATGTGTTGTAAATAGCTTAATTTTACACCTTTTTTCACATTTTAATCGAAATAGCCCGAAAACGAAATCGAAATTAAAAAAACTGAATCCCATCGTTTGTGCGCCTTTGCATTGCGCATCGATTTGGTAATAACAAATTTTGAAAAAAATAATATTTGCTTTCAAAAAGTGGTACCGAACTGTCAAAATTATAGTTTTTGTTGAAATTATGCCACTTCCGGTGTCGACAGGAAACTTTATTGATAACAAAAAAATGACATTTTGGAAAACGGAGCATATGAACTTTGTTTCAAACAATTCGAACGATCATTAATGAATCTAGAAGCGTAAAACTGAATTAGCCAATAGCGGCCAAGGAAAATTATTTAGACAAAAATTGTTGACATTTTCGCTCAAATCAGACGACCCTTTACCCCTGGATAAAATATCATCAAAAAATATTCATTAATAAAAAAGTTTTTTGTAAAAATTTTAATTTTCAAAATTTGGCGCCTAATATCTCCGAAGATTCATCGAAAATCAACAATCTAAAGAACCTTAGCTACGTGCCTTGTCTTTGCCTATGTCAAAATGTATCAAATGTTAAAATCCGGCAATTATTGTAAATGTTACGACAAAATTTCAAAAATTAACCACTTCGGTGATTTCAGACATTTCGCATTGTCACAGAACGTTCAAAATAGCTTTAATCTCTAAGTCACACCCACTTTCCCATTGAAACCGAAGAAATTGGATCAATCCGACAAGTAGTTTCTGAGATATGATCAAAATGGAAAAAAAAATAATAATAAGAATAATAATCCGAACAAAAACAATAGTGTTTCACACAAGCTACGCAGTGTGAAACCCTAATTATTTCACATTACATTGCAAGGGATATCTGGATTTATGTATATTATATAGCTAATTATGATTGTCAGTTAATAATACCGAGTTCGGAAATGGTCGGCGTAATTGCTCCGAGCAAATATAGACGACTTTTACAAATTAAAAGTCTTCTCAAAAATAGCATTCTGTCCTAAAATTCATAGGCCTGTTGCTTTTATTAATTTCTCTCCACATTTGGTTTGTCTTAAACTCGTAAGTTGTGTTCACAAGCATCCTTTTGCGTTTTATTCGTCTAATTTATTGTCTAAAACTCCATAGTTAAAGAGCAGATAAAATGAACATATCAAAATCGCATGCTTGAAGCCCAGCTATATTAGGCCTATAAATACTTTAGTCAATTGTAGGCCGTACGGCGGCGTCCTTGATGATCAACACACTAAACTTGATTACCCAATCATCAACCTTAATCATCTGACCACAAGGTGCTAATCAATTGGTGAAGTTAACAGAAGTTATTTGTCCGAATTGAAAAAAAAAATACTAATAGGCTTACACGATCATTCTGAATTTAGTTTTCCTCCATTTCCTGAATAGTTGGTAAAAAAAACACAGCGGCTGCCAGGCAGGGCACGCCCACATTTTTCAAGAGATGGATAGAGAACAAGCTAAACAAAAAGCGATTTTTCGTAACGTCAAGGGCCACAATCTAGGAGGGTACGATCAGATATGTGCGAATATCGACAGGAACCAAGATCTCTGGGTAACATGCATTTCAAGTGTCATTAAAATCGGATCAAAATTGTGACCTCTAGAGGGTCCACAACCTTGATATACCTGATTTACACTATTTCTAAACAATGGCCAGCTGGGCGAAGCGATGTGAAAAACAGCCTTAGTTACATTTTAATTTTTTTCTCAACTTGTCGGGGCACGCCTCGAGTCTCATTTATAATCGCGGGAACGTGTAGTATTATGAGAACCCTTAAAGCGGAAAGCTAACTAAACAATAGCAATTTTGCAAGTTTATACAGAATTTCGGCTAATAATATCTGAGAGACACCCCAACCCCAAAAAGTAAAAGAAATTGTCAGTAAGACAGCAGGGACAGATCCCCTCTGTATCCACATAGCGCGATTTGGTTTGTTATCCGTGGAATAATCTTTATTTTGAAGGTTTTGATGTTTAATAACAAAAAAACAATGTTGACATTTTTTCTGAGTAGATCTTCATTATGGTGACTGTTAGCGGCCATTCTATATTCTCGACACAGCAAGTCGAAATAATTGCATTTTGTCGACTTATGAAGGCGACAAGTCGTCAAAATCAACCAGACAATCGTCGCCTTCATTTTGTCGACTTGTCGCCTTCGACTTATTCATAATTGCAAATTAATGGGGTTTAACGTTCTACTGTTCTTCACCGACAGGGCAAATAAGATAGGCATATGCCATACAGTGTGTTATAAGGGAGATTTTGCCCCGACAACGGCTCTACAGTCCACTCTTATATTGAATTCCAACTGATAACGTATATTTTACTGTCCGCCAAAGATAGACGGGGCGTCGGTTTTTCGTCCCATCCAGACGACTATACGCTGTCCGTTGCTGTGAGAGCCCGGGTCTTAATCACTGAGTCACAATGGCTATCCAATTCAAATCAAGACAAACATTTACCCAAATAAACGTTTACCATCCAAGTAATAATATATTCGAGCGACCAAACGATATAATAGACGTAGATATTATATCATATTTGGTATAAATGTCTTGGCACGGGGTGTTCTCATCCAGCTCAAAATATTGATTAAGGGGATTAAGGGGATTTGTGTTGATAACGACTTGTGAAATCTTGTTGAAACGTCGCAGTAAAATAAACCACAGTAATTGTTATCCATAAATAGTGTGTTATTTGAAGGGGATTAAGGGTTTAGGGCTGGGGGATTATGGTCTGTAGCTGAAATGTGTTCACATAATTAGATATGGATTAACCGTTTAATAAGTGTCATGTGAACTGTGTTTAATAAGTGTCATGTGAACTGTATTTAATGAGTGATAAAATAAAAAATATATTAATTCAATAAACAGAAAATCATGAAAGATAAAACCTATTATTAGACTGTAAAACCGTAAATATATTAATTCAATGAACTGAAAATCATGAAAGATACAACCTCTTATTAGACTATAGAAACTGGACGAGGGAAAACGTAAATATATTAATTCAATAAACTGAAAATCAAGAAATGTGAAATATATGATCAGGCTGTTAAACTGGATAAGTACTGAAAACCAAGATATGTGAAATGCATAATTAGACTGAAAAAAACCCTGGATAAGCACTGAAATAGAACAAAAGTATAATAATAAATGTTGAATAAAACATTATCAAGTGATTTTGTTTTACTATTAGGTTTAACCTAATGAAATAAACAGTGCCCAATGTGAAACAGACTACAGCTAATTCCAATTAACACCTTAGTCACGCTAACATGATTATTTAAGTTTTGAGCTGGGTGAGAATGAACCCTTGGCACCTTACTGGTCTAATAACTGTAAAGCTATTCTTAATGTATTAAGGCAGCGAGGCACCTCTTTTGTAGTTTCACTTATTTCAGATATAACGACAGAAATTCGCTCACATCCATGTCGATGTTCTGTCAAAGATTCATCCGTTCTATTAAGACAATGAGCAAACCTCAAGGTTCGATGATATAACTCATTAAACAAAATGTTTTCGACATGACAACGAATTTATTTCATTTTTTTTTTCTCAAAAAAAATAATAAATAAAATCGGACAATTCTTCAGAGTTATGAATAACCCAATTTAGCAGTAATTTTAGCCGAGACGATAAATGCTGACGTCTTATGATATCAACTTCGACTGAACCCGGAACCACACCTTCTGTCCGTTCGATTGGAGAAATTTTGGAGGTGGAAATCACAATGAAAAAATTCTAATAGTTGAAAATGCAAAGATGAAAAAGTTTGAGTGAATTTGCAAAGGCGAAAAAGTAGAAAGTGAAAAAAACATAACTAGATTATTTTGTTTGTTTTGATACTAATATAGTGATTTTGTGTTTTGTGATATTTACAAGTGAAAAATCTCGAAAATGACCACTTTTACCATTTTGACTATGATAATTTGTCAGTTTTAACTATTATATTTTCTCTTAATATGGCAACGATTTGGCTACACATGGAGCAAGTTAGAAACTAACTTATGATCAATAAACTAGAACAAATACTTATTGATTACGTTGAGAGAATATTATCATCATATAATAAACATAGATAAAAATATAGAATACGTACAGAGCAGCTGATACGGGAATATCCTTGATAAATTGATTAAGTCCAGGGAATAATCATGCACAAATTAAAAGCAGTAGATTCTAATCCAGTTGAAAGGCGTTGGCAATACAATCTCAATTCAACCGTTCAATTCAACTGTATTAACAACAGGTTGGCACGATATGTTAATATTATCGCCATGTCACGTGTGTTTTTTTCATATCGTGTGAAAACTTTTTTACTGGCTCGATATTTGAATTGTAGATATGGGTAACTATGCTCCAAAGTTCAAGGGTTTGTTTTATATTAAGACGCATAGTGCACCTGGACAGTCATTGACCTGAACACAGGGTATATATAATGCCGCCTTTATCCCAGATGTAGGCTTTCGGGATGTTTTACCCCAAATGTTTTGTAGTAACAATTCGCGACACACAACGGCTAAAATGCCCAAAGGGACATAGAAGTACATTGCATGTCTCTTTTGTGCGACAGCGTTTCGCTTGTCTAATAGAAGACAATTCATTTTGTATTAGGAAAGTAGAGTTATATACTCCCACGTGCTCTTGTTAAACTATGTCACGACAATATGGTACCCCACTTTTAGTTGCTGTATCTACAGGGCGGAACACCAGCGAAACACATTTCCGGCCGTCTAATTTTCAAAATTGTCTGGATGAGAAGGTGCATTGGCGCCTTCGGTGTGATTACGGGCAGTCGGTTTCTAAACGGGTACCTTTTCCGGGCATTTTTCTCCACCCCACCTCCTAAATTATCCGGGCCCATACCAGGGGCGTGGTGACCCATGATTTTGCATGAGGAACAAGATCCCGTCCGGGCCCCCAAAACAATATTTATGCATGTGGCGTTGGAGGGGGTTCCTCCCAGTGTCGCCGAGTAATACTGGGCTGTGTGGAGCATGCTAGAGTCGATTTGTAGTATATCTGACTCATGGTATATGTTTCACACTGGTTGAGCACTATGATTAATTGATATTCTACATGCATAGCTAGCCCGTATGCATTGTCAAGATAATTAGATTTTGTATTATTGTATTTTCCGTTGCAATAGTAAATTGGGAAATATGTATCAACTTTTACTGTATTTGATATGTGCGTATATGTATCAACTTTTACTGTATTTGATATGTGCGTATTTGTACAATTATTAGAATTAAAGTCGTAATGTTCATTTTGCTCAGAATCATTTCTATTCTGATCATTGTGCGTGTATGTCTACCCGTTGACATTGACAGTTTTGTACAATACAAACGTATTAAAAGGTGTTATCTCCTCAAATCAGAAAAGTGTTAATAAAAATTTTGAACGACCAGGCATGACCCGTCTGAGGCAGAGATGGTTAGATCTGCAATGTCTTGATTTTAGAAGTCAAAAATTTTACAGATAAAATTACGGTACACTGAGTAGTTTAAAAAAACAAACAATAGGTAACAACAGTACAGATAAAATATTCAGGCTAATATTTATGAGTAATCCCTATCTGACGATACATATGAATCAGCGATTTAATAAAGCCGCGGCATGACTATTAAAGTTGCATTCCCAAGAAAATATTTGTAAGGGTAGTTATTTCCAATAAAGATATGGCATAGTTGGTATATATGGTAAATATAGACAACCAACCTTACTGGAAAAAATACTGGTTTGCTTGGAAAACAAACATGAGGCGCATACAAGACAAAAAATTTAGAGGGTCACTAATCGGCAATCTACCCAGTTTTTTGTCTGCTTGGAAAATGCTGAGAGCGCTCGCTTTTCTTGACTGAATGGCTAGCGGTTGTGAGAACAGTGAGAGGATTAAATGTACTACAGAGTTTGCGATTAAACGGAGGAAAAAGAAGTTAACAGAGGATAATTCCGGAATTTACCAAGGCGTCGATATTTATGGTAAATGGACTGCAAGTAACGACAAATTGTACAAGCTGAAAATGGACGCCCCAGCCTCAACCAATTCACTTGACAAACAAGGCTGCTTGTAATAGAATTTTACACTTTGGGAGAGTTTTCTTTCGATTAAAATGTTTTGAGAAGGATTTGAAGCAAACTCTTGATAGATAAAGTAGTATGAATATGTTTTAGTCCAAATATCAAATCACAAAGTTTGTACGTAGGAAGGCATCTTTAAATATCTATAGCCTTCAAAAGTAAGTCAATGGATTTCTTAAATAGCTTAGTTGACATTAAGACAGTTGTTTGCCCGTTGCCAAAGTACATTGTTATAAGTGCAAATAATAAAATGGGGACTTTTAAATTATGTTGACTGGATTATGGTAGGCGTCTTTCCGCAACCACCATAAGAGTGGGATTGTTATCAGAAACGTTGTGACCGTTGAAATGAGACACAAAATGCTGTGGCACGAAGAGTCAATATCTATATCGTTAAAGGGGATTGTTGTGTGCAACATGTTAGTGTCGTTTATTTCTTTGGAGACTTCATAAACAGGCATGGCGGTGGAAACCCTATAATATGTCAAAATGGGTCTCGTTTAAGTCTAGGTGATGATGGTCCTCCGGGGTTTCTACCAGATGATTGTAAAGTATTAGGGTTTTTTCGGGTACTAAATATTAGAGCCCACGGATGTTCCAAACAAAATTATAGGTCTAGACATTCATTTAAATGAAGACCTGACATCAGGTCGTCAGGTTCGATCTATTTTCCCTGGAGTTATCACCGCTGTCATCGGTGCCCCAACGTAAAGACGCCTTTAGCGTCACACACTAGTAGTCATAATTTCGGCCTAATTTACTAAATGAAATATATCCAATGACTGTGCAGTGTGCAGAATAAAGGTTATAACAAAGATATTTTTAATAATGTTGTCATATTTGCGAATAGTTCTAAATTCGGGGGGTCACGGTGTCTAAGACACTGGCTCCCTAGCCTGGAGGTCGGGTGTTCGATCCCTGCATTGGCCGAGAAAGTTCATTCAGATTTTCCGGCGTGGTTCCCCCCTGTCAGTGATGCAGGACGGAGGGCCTGGAAATGACAGCTGTCTAGTCGTTCGGATGGGAATAAAAACCGAGGTCCCATGTACACACTGGCGTGCACGTCAAGATTCCTTAACAGTTGGAATTCGATATAAGAGTAGGCCGTAGTGCCGCTGTCCGGGCAATATTTCCCTCATAGCACACTTTATGGCGTATGCCCGTCTTCATTAGCCCAGGTTAGGAGCAGAACAGTAGGACGTTAAACCCCATTTCATTTCATTTCATAATTCTAACGTTGCCAAATAGGGGACGGTATAATTTTCAATTAACGGGTATTGTGGGCTAGCGCCTCCCTTTACACCAGACTGATAGTAATTCTTGCATAATATATATTTATAATCCGGCAGAGGGGGTGGATGACCGAATGGTTAGCGCGTGCGCTTTGCATCATAATATCTGTTATTGAGTCAACTGGCGCGTGGTTTTGATTTCCCGATTGTACGTGACAAGGAGTAGTGTCGCCTGTCCAACCTCGTGGGATTTCTCCGGGTCCCCCGATTTCCTCACACTGCTAAAGACCCATACGCGTTAGCGACTTATTGAAATAAAGTTGAACTATATGTTAGTCGCGAAATGACCTGGTTTGTGTCGAGTGGACGTTAAACCCTATTTATCTGTCTCTCCCCTTTATTAGCCGGAAGATATATCTCAGTCACAAACATTTACCTAAACAACAGAGGAATAACAATAGTTCGTGCCGCCAGAGAGTTCTTGGAGCGCACATCAGCCACTCATCTTAGGGGGTGGGGGGCGCCAATTCAAGCTACTTGAACAATTGCGCATCGATTGGAGGAATTCGATGACGTAATGCTGGTTTCCTGGTCCATATAGTACGCTCAGACTTTTTCCAATGCAGTTGACGAAAAGTGTCGCCCCGCCCAACTTATACTCTCACCACAGACACCCACACACCCACCGAAAACACAGGGTAGCTACGCAAATAATATATCGTTATATAACATCTGTATGATATAAGAGCTTAGGAGATAAAAAAATTAAATACAGTAATTTATTTATATGATGCCCAGATAGTGCTTGAAACAGTAGCAGTCATTGTTTCAGTAAGTTTGACAAGAGTATCAAGAAGTTTACGTTTTCCTCTACTTATTACAAGATGTGCAGCTTACGTAAACTAGATAGAACAGATAAAAACCTAGGAAACATATTATGTGTACTTAAACCGAAATTTCAAGAGACAGTAAACGGGCAATAAATTAGACATAAAAAGAAAAGCATATTTTAAGTGCTATAGATTTAAGAAATGTTCAACGGACGATATACGTTATTTAGATTTTACGCTACATGGGTTGGATGTATTACGTTTTCCGCAAACATTAACAGAATTCCTTGATACACCTATAATGAGGTAGTATTTATTCCGTTTAAACAAGTGTGTCTAATCTTAAAATCGTTGTAAGAAAGGTGTGAGGTTGAATTATCCTACAGAAATGTCTTCTTCTTACAAGACTATTACGCAAGGGGAGTGTGATATAAAAGTTGCATTGAATAATATAGAGATTACTAGTCAAGACGAACAAACAGTATTATCTAAACAGGCGGTCACGTAAGTAAAGTTATTTTGGACATAGTATTAAAACTAAAATATCTAATACGAAACAAACGTGTACATTCTGAAATACGAAAATAATCAGAAGGCCAAAATAAAATGGCAGTAGGAAATACAACAAAAGATGTACTTTTAACGTATTTTAAAATAACCCATTAAAACTTTTTAACCCTATTTTGAATTGTTAGGCTATTAGCAGAGCCCGTTTTCATCAGCCCAGTCGCTGCTAAAAAGCAGGACGTTAAACCCCATTTCATTTCATTACTATAAGCAGAGAACATTAAGCCGACGTATTAGCAGAAAACATTAATTTTAGCGAGTGTATTATCAGAGTACATTAAGCCGGTGTATTGGCAAACCATTAAGTCAGTGTATTAGCAAGTGTATTGGCAGATACCATCAAGGCAGTGTATCATTAAATGACGTATTAAATTTATTCTTTTATCATTCCAGATTGTTTCATGACCTTTACGAGAACCTGGATTAAATATGGAAGGCGGGGTTTGGGGCATTGTGATCATCATATCAGCCTTTATGATACAATTTATCGCATTTGGTATAAACGGTTCCATTGGTATTTATAATGTGGAATTTCTGGAACATTTTGATACCACAGCTTTTGATGTATCCTTAATATCGTCCATCAACCTTGGGATATTTTTAGGCACTGGTAGGTATATATAGTCAATTTGATGACATTTGATATACTTATTGCATGATGGTCCTTTTCGCAGGTTGGAAAAGTTACACACAGGTATCCATTGTCAATCTGACGAAATTTGGTATACGTATTGCAGTATGCAGTCCTACTCACTGGTTGGAAAGTTAAAGGGGCTAAATCGCTAATATTTGGAACCTAGAAATTGACAAAAATGGGTAGCAACGCATATAATAATGTAATATAAATGTATATAAACTCATTTACATTCAATCGTTTCTGTTTTCACTGTGGGGGGTTGGATGGCTGAATGGTTAGCGTGCGCGCGCTGTATCATAAAGTCTGTCATTGAGTCGACCGGCGTAGTTTCGAATCCCCGGTTGTGCGTGGCAAGGAGTAGGGTCGCCTGTCCAACCTCGTGGGTTTTCTCCGGGTCCTCCGGTTTCCTCCCACTGCTAAAGACCCCTACGCGCAAACAAATTATGTAAATAAAATTAAACCATATGTTAGTCCCGAAATGACCTAGTTTGTGTCGAGTGGACGTTAAACCCCATTTCTCTCTCTCTCTCTCTTGTTTTCACTGTAATTTCTAATCATTTATGTTCGGCGAAATACGCCAGAAGTCTTAATTGAATGGCAATCTCTAGTGTCCGGTTGTTCCAGTCTACACCGATAGTATTTATTGCACATGCTCTCCAGATAAGAATATGGCGTCACCGTTTGACTTGACATGTGGAATATGCCTAGCCTCGTTTTTCAAGTCCCTTATTACAAATGACGCTGAAACGCATTATAGTACACAATTCGTGTACCAATGGTAAAATGTTTATTTTGTCTTAAATATTGGATAGCAGAAGCCCATCTCTTCCCGGTAAGATCACAACATCAATGTTGATTTAAATTGACAAATAATTCATGTTTTCAATGTTGAAGATTTTGGATGATATTGAGTTAGAGACTTAGCTACTTTAAAGATACATTATGGGAGATAAGATAAAGAGATGGCAGTTCTCGCTATAATAGTTAAAAACTAGATAGTGTAAAGGTAATTTGCTGAAAATTTCAGCCAAATTGATCCACTATGAGCCGAGAAAGAAGCCGGTGAAATTTTTGCATAGTCTCGGTTATCATTACTAAAATCATTAATATAAACAGCATAGTCTCGATTATCCACTTTTTCTGATTTAATTATCTTTGGCCGTTAGCGGCATATAGGAATCTTATCCAGCCTACATCGGAGGCTAGCCTTGACATCGAGAGTTTATTATGGTCTGGATAAGTTAATTAATGTCTAATTGATAATTTAGATAACATTTCAGATTTTGCCCTTGCATAATGCATGTTTAAGTTTCAGATTTCTGTCGAGCACCAATGCTACCGTAGTCATCATTAGCCATTATTGTTATATAACACATGGTCTTAGATCATTATCGAAATCAGGATTTCTTTGATTAGGCCCCACTGCTGAAATGGCATCATATATCGTAGTTAAATCCTACCTATTGAGTATCAGACCCATTCTTTATATGAATATATTTTGATGTTTTTGTGTTATATTTTCGACTTTTTTTTTATAAATAAACGGTATTTACATGGCGGGTAAAGTGGCCGAATTGGAAAACCATGTTTCTTTCATAAAAGAAAGATTAAATGTACATGAACGTGTCTACAAATATCCATAGTATAAAACAAACTTTCAGAGTACTGCTGTATTACATTTTATTTGTTTATATACTTTATGTCATTACATGAATGTCGACGACGTTGCAATATCAATGTGTACAATTATTTCCATAAAATTGATAATAATCATTGAAGACATTATCGCAATTAGTATTACAATGATCAGTTCGCACCGTTCAACGTATTTCAAATTGACAACTATGGAAGATCACATCGCCCTAACGTTTGTTTGTTGTGCAAACCTGAATGGTCTTATCTATATATCGCCGACGGATGAGCGGGGAAGGACAAACCATATTGAAGATATTATGTAACTCAATGAGTCACGGGCATGTGCTCCCAGAATGCAGGACGTTTCGGCTAGTAGACGTTTCGGACAAGGACATTTCGGCCTATGACATTCCATCCAAGGACTTTTCGGCCACTTTATTTTCTTTTTAGAAAGAGGACGTTTCGGTCCGAATGACATAAGCCATTGCTTGCGTAGTTACCATCAATGCAACAAACATCGGAACCTGCAAGATTCTGGAGTGGTGTTCCCTTTAAATGTTTTAAAAAGGCTCCCGTCCCCTTCAAAAATATTCTTTCGATTGAGCATATATATTAACATAACCTTGTTTGTAGACCCCATTTTTAAAGAATATACTTAAAGTCGAGCTAAAATCTTGACAAAACTTTGTTTATGGCCTCCAAGTTTTCTCAGTCAAAATGTTCGGCTAAATTATTCAAATTTTAAGTAGCTAAGAAATGCGTGTTTTTATATTTTTTATCTTCCATTTTGTTTTAATCAGGTCCCATAGCAAGTTATCTAATGGACAGATATAGTCACCGTAAAGTGGTTTTAGTTGGTGGATTTATGAGTTCTGTTGGTATGTTAGTAATGCCGTGGTTACCTGGTATTCCTTATATGTATCTATTTTATGGTGTTATAAATGGTAAGCAGTTTATAAGATTAAGAGTTTTCTCCTTGTGACTAAAGATTTTCATTCGTGTACAACCTACCGAAGACAGTGGAGATCTGAAGCCGTCGAGTCAGTTTGGGTACTCGGGTTTCTTGGACTCTGTTTAAAGATTTTGCCTTCATATGATACAAATGATATAACAGAAAATGCACAAGGTCGCCGGCAAACATGAACACAACGCGAGATAATAGTTATGTTGATTTATTTAGAAGCGATTTTTTTATTGATATAAATGCGAGAAATACTTTTAAAAACATTTAGCGTGGTCCAATGTGAGTATGATCAACTTTATAACTCCCCACTGCAGGAAATATCTCATAGTCGCGCTTATCCGGACACACGATGACCGAGCAGGAAACCTCGGAGTTTTCTAACCCAGGCCATGATTGTAAAACTAAATACTTTGTGCCCAAGATTTTAGAAAATGTAAAAAGCATATTACTTGGTTTAATTTCTTAGTATTTAAGCCCACTTTAATTGATGGATCATCTATGAAATCTTAGACTAGTTTGACATGCGAACCCAATTAATACCGAAGTCGTATCAAGTTTTCTATAAAGACTAATTACATTATGCCTTGTCCACATACCTGCCATTACTAATAAATAAATCCAAGTTTATATCCTCGTGTTTTTCCACAATGAATGCTGAATAACCAATTTCCTCTTCTTGTATTCATTTATCATTTTCTATTAACAAACCTCCTTTTATTTCAGGGTTTGGTGGAAGTCTGTCATACTTGCCGTCACATGTATTAAGTGGGCTATATTATGATAAATATCAAGGTTTAGCTACTGGATTAGCTACCGGAGGTTCTGGTCTTGGTATAACCGTTGGACCTATTCTAATAGCTTATCTCATTGAGGTATATACATGGAAGGGGTCATTGTTGATTTTATCAGGAATATCTTTCAACGTTCTTGTTTTCGGTGCCTTACTTCGTCCACCACCTCCCAGAACTTTTACAACAATAATCCCAGAGCCAACTGTGCCAGGGGATCCGGTTGTCAAGAACCAGCTGAAAAAAGAAGAAAATGGGAATACTGTGGTACCGGATATTGACAATAATATAACCTTATCCTTGGATATACCATCCTTGAAGACTAAAAACAAGAACAACCCAGAAAATGTACAGCGCCACCAAAAATCATACTTACACAAATTGTTTCAAAATGTTTTAACAAACGTTGATTTTATTATATATTTTGTAAATAACATATTTTGGAACTTTGGTTTAGCCATAGTTCTGGCCTTCTTAGCAGAGTTATGTGTGCAGCAAGGAATCTCTAAAATCGACAGTGCTCTGGTTTTAACGCTTGTGGGACTCGGGAACTTTTTGGGTTGTATCATTGGAGGTGTATTAAGCAATATCAGCCGACTGGACAGTATTTTTGTTTTTTCTGTGCTGAATATATTATCGGGTGTGTGTCTTATTCTAATACCTATAATATCAGGATATACAGAGACCATCATTTTTTCATTTCTATTTGGACTCTTTACTGGAATGGTTTTGGGCTATCTTTTGGCCATCACGGGTGAAATACTTGGAGTTGAGGATTTTGGGGATGGTGTTGGTGTAATAATGATAGCCAATGGAATCGGTGCCTTTGCTGGACCACTGGTTGCTGGTAAGACCCTAAAATAAATCATTCCTATAAATTCACATAAGTTATTCTTTTGCATGTGCCACTACTATCTTCTCATTTATATACACCGCGGTGTAGATGGCACAAAAACAGCGCCTAGTTAAAACATTATATAGCACGAGTGAACTTAAAGGGCATAAATACAAAGCAACACGCTAGTACAACAGTACGTGGACGCTGCCAAACCTGTTAAAGCTACTGGGGTACCCACTACAAAGTAGTATCAGTTCCAATCTGGTTAAAACACAGATCCTATTTCGTTTCGTTTTTTTATAGTTCAATTTTTTTCTTCACTAGGATCTGAAATACTTGTTATATAACCCGCGTTCTAGATGATGTGGGGGATTAGCCAATGAAAAAATCTGGTACGGGGAATTTTTGTTTTGGGTTGCTCGGAACTGTGGGTAACCCACTAGAAATGTCAACGCTGATTGGTTAATCAAATATCTGATGCCATAGGTCAAAATCCTCTCACATGACCTCTGACGCGACCTCCCACTACAACTGGTCAGATCTTCAGGTAGTAGAGGCCATCGAAAGTATAAAAAAAACGAAACGAAATATATATCCGTGTTTTAATCAGATTGTATCAGTTATTTTCATAAAAACAACACTGCTCTAATAAAAGATACGTTTGAAACCAGTGCCGGATAAACCAATATGCTTGGCAGACTCACGTCTAGGGTATCAAGACCCAGGGCCTTCGATCAAGGTGTTGACACTATCATTAAGTCTTTCTTACACGCACACTCTGTAGTCTTAAAAATCCACGATCATCTTCGGCTTTGCTCAATTGTGTTTAAAACAAACTCTCATCTTTCCTAGCCGAGAGGATGGGGAAGAGAGAGAGAGAGAGAGAGAGAGAGAGAAATGGGTTTAACGTCCACTCGACACAAACTAGGTCATTTCGGGACTAACACATGGTTCAATTTTATTTCCATAATTCGCTTGCGCGTAGGGGTCTTTAGCAGTGGGAGGAAACCCACGAGGTTGGACAGGCGACCCTGCTCCTTGTCACGTACAACCGGGGATTCGAAACCACGCCAGTTGACTCAATGACAGACTTAATGATACAGCGCGCACGTGCTAACCACTAAGCCATCCAACCCCCCGGGGAATAGAGAGGGGCATCATAAGCGGAATAGCGAAGGGGCTCTCTTCATCTAAATCAAAATAAATACAGTAACAAGTAAAACATACAAAATTTTAAATATATTATTCAATGTCAATATATTATTGACTGAAGTGCAGTTGATAGAAAATGATTTTTAAAGATTTTAAATATATCCGAATTCATTGAAATCTGCCAAGGTGTTAGACGTATTATTATAGACGTATATCATATACTTTGATTTCTGAAGATGCAGGAAAATTGTGCGTACATGGGTATAGAATGTGTCTTTTTTTAAAAGCTAAGGTCAGCACAACTCCTACAGTTCTGTGGAAGATGCAACTATATGCCAAGGTTGACACCTTAACACCGCGAACGCGCTATTGCGTTGATTCAATAGGGTATGGGTGCCGTCACACTCTCATCCAGAGACTGACCGGTCGTTTTCAACGGATAATGTCCACTAGAAGTCGACCAAACCCTGGTGAGCAACGCGTTATAACGACTAGACAAGGCTGGCACATTATCCACCAACATCAGGCTGATCACATTTTCCGAGATGACTTTTTATTTTTATACCTTGGGGTCACGCTTCTCTGTAAAGTAAAGTTGTTATAGCCTTTGTGGGTTGTTAATATTCTTGTGTTGGGAAATCTCCAATCAACACCCAGGGTAAATTTCACACCCCAGCTGCAATGTGTCTTGCTAGCACGTCCAGTCAAATCAGTATAGGTTATGGCATCTCGGTATGGAATTTGAGCTGCGTGTCGTGTAAATTGATGCACCCACGCCCTCCCTCTTGACATTGCGCAGTGTATTCTATCATTACCAACCCTGCCAACAGTCTCGAGTTTTGGAGAAACTGTCATCTGCAACTTGTCGAATAAAACAAATTTCAAATTTCCATTTATGTGTTTTAGGTCATCTGGCCGCGGGCAGCGGTGGTTTAAGCATTGGGTTTATAGTTGGTGGTATATTTTGTATCATTGGTGGATTTATAATTCTGCTTATTCCGTTTAGGAAATGTTTTCTTAAAAATGACACAGACCTAGATATCAACAAAGAAAAGGTTGAAGAGTTTCAGATGGGTCCGATAAAGGAGGTTTCCTCTGGACCAATACCAACATTGGTGGTGCCAACTATTACAGTGGATGATGTATCGGACGGTAAAGATATAGACGATGACGCACCACAAAGTTCCTTAAGGAAAAATAGTTTCTTCAAACAGGTGAATCTTGAGGATGAACAATGATAGTTTCAGGTAATTGTTGTTATATTTCACACTGGCAGTGGAAACAGGAACCATACTGTAAACTTTATTTTTGTTATACAAGTTTGTTGGAAATATTGAATCTGGTTTACAATTTTTTTTTATGATTTTATAATTTGTACTATAAAATTGTGCAATGTAATTAAAATTAGATTATAGTTTCGTTCCGTTTATTTCTTTTCTGATTTTACACTACATTGTCATCTTTCCTACTTTCTGTCATTTTTATCAACCAGGTCGTTGTCCCACTGCTGAAAAATGCCCCACTAAAAAAAAGCAGTGGGGAAATACCAATAACACCAAGTGAAAATCACGCGTTTTTGGTACTATTAATGAGATGTCCACAGTAGACTATTTAGGTAAACATCGCACTTGCTTTATATCCCAAAACTCCTCTAAAGTATGCCCCAAAAATTTAAAGAATTACTCACTTCCGGCGAGACAACCTCCTCGGACCTCCCTATGCCCCAAGCCACCAGATTTCCTCTTATACACAGTGATGCAGTTTGAATCCTGTATTATCGCGCTTTAGAAACTGAACTTCATCTGTTATTTACACCACCGTGTAGTGATCATGAGCAGAGCAAGCCGATTTGCAGTTAGATCTTATCATGCAGTGTGTTTTTCTCATGTATTTATCATAACATTTTAATCCACCACTTCATTACTACCTTCGTAACACTCATGATATAGTACATCATGGTACAAACAACAGCATAACTGTAGCTTACACTGACCTGGAACTATAGCTTACATTGGATAAACTATTTATCATACAGTCACACATAAGGACCAAATGCGAAATAAACTTGCCGAAACAAAGCCAGATAAGATAGATCTTATCATATTAAAAAAATAGTGAAGTTTGGATAAAAAATTAACGGAGATATTTCAAAACTGTTTTTCAGTATAAAATACATGTCGCCACATTGAATCAATCGGTATAACGCGGCTTTGTCAGAATTTCAATTATTCATAATTTTGTTAGTTTTTATATGAAATGATTTAAATTTTGGATATGATATATAAAATATGCACACCTATAACATATTTCCTCGTCGGTCGCTTTGGACGCTATAGACATAGGCTTACGGGCTCGATGAATGTTAGGCTGGGCAGAATCTGAAATGCCAGAAAAAATTTCGGGTTACAGACAGCGGTGCTCCCTACCCTAAAGAAAATTTGGAAAATTTGACGGCCGCAAACGCGTTTTTCTGCGCGAATCGTGATAGTGGGAACCTAGCATTAAGACAGTTGTATTAACATATTCTATTTCTATCTATTTCTATCTGTTTCTATATTAACACCTCACTGGTTGGCACGAATAAAATGAATAGTCAGATCCTTTATGCTCCTTAACGCCGTCGCATGTGTTAAAATAAAATATATATTTCAGTAACTTTCTTGATGAATAAGTATGCCAGTAATAATATAAAAATATATAAAAGCAGACGGTGTGTGAAATTGTATACGTATGTATAACATCAATGACAAACATATGGTTGGTGTAATTCATTATTTATACATTTAGATTCTGACGTTACTTTTCAATTTTAATAACCTGAAGCCTTTTTATGAAGGGTGCTTCACCGGTGTCCTATTAGCAAGATTAATCTAGAAATATCTGATATCATTATTTATACATAAAATGGTCCCATGATGCATAGGCGTACGGGCTCGATGAACGTTAGGTTGAGGGGTGGGGCAGACCTTGAAATGCCCAAAAATATTTCGGGTTACAGACTGCAGTGGCGGACGTCCGCTAGACGCGAAGGGGTGGAGCTTACCGTGTAGCCCCTCCCCCTCCCCCCCCCCCCCCCGGAAGAAAATTTCAAAAAGGTCCAATATAGCCTACCTTAGTTGACTTACCGGAATCCCGAATCCCAAACAAGCAATCAATCATCGCGTTGTATGGGGGCCTCGCACTCACCAAGAAAAATTTGAAAATGCGTATTTCTGCTATTCTAGCCCGTGAATTAAGCAACTTCAAAGTTTCCAATCGCTTTGCAACCGAAATCCCGCCCAATGCCGACCTGAATTCCAACCACCCATTCAGACTGTTGCAGCTGCATTCACAAATAATAATTGATGCCCGAAAAATGTCGCACAGAGTAGAGTGGCTCCAGACAAAATATTTTAATCCATAGTCAATTCAGTACAAATTCGTAGTATTCAATTAAAAGAAAAGTAAAATAAGGGTTTTATTAGATTTCTGACCAGGGCTTCGGTAATGAGTAATGATAATGCTCATGTAATGAGTAATGGAAATGTAATTAATTAAATTACAAAAATCATGTAATGGTTAATTACATTAAAGTTACTTTTCAATTACATATTAAAGATATGGCACATATCATAATTTCAACTATATGACAAGCCTCAAAAATGTTAGCATCAAAGAAGTAAATTAAGTACATCTGACACAAATCCAATTCACAAGAATTTAAAAAAAAATTATACATGAATCTGTTTAAAGATAACAAGAAAACATTACATGTACTATATAATTTTATTACTTTTTTTATTTAGGACTCTTTCATGTAAGCTTAAACTTAGCGAATTTTCTATATATTATGAAGATTGCAATGAAATTCAAGTGCTAATTAGCATTCAATAATTTCGTCAATAAATCAGATAAAATTTTATCTAATTGTAATCAAATGTAGTGATTATTTTGAGCTCAATTTCGTAGGTGCTTCATGGTAGAAAAATAAAATTGTCTTTTATAATGTCTATAAAGGGGGTCTTATTTACTAAGTCATAAAGTAATAGGTAATTGTAATTAATTACTTTCAGTGTAATGGGTAATGGAAATGAATTACTTTGCTAAAATGACAAAGTTGTAATGATTACATTTAAAAGTAATGGTAATGCAATTAATTACATTTCCAGTGTAATGACCCCAGCCCTGTTTCGGGCACTTTATTTTGCCAACTAGATGAAATAATAATTTTTGTTTTCACTTTACACGCCCCTCCCCACCACCTGGCTCATATATGCTTATGGCTAGGGGCAAAAAAGAAAAGGTAACTAAGTACACGACTCCATGGGAGACATACGGAACGTTTTACGTGTATTACGTATCCAATATCCACGGACTTGGTACAAGTGTGCTCTATCTTAAACCATCATAAGGAAAAGCGTGAGGTTGAATGATACGGAGGGGTACAATAATTTCATCTAGTAACGTACAGTTGAATTAGAGTATTGTGGTGATGTATTAATTACATGGGACGGTACCCTGGTGTGAATTTTTGCCGGCTTGGTACATTTACTTAACAACAATCACGTAAGTAGCATTATTTTGAACCATCAAATTTTTTTATACAAAAAGACATGATTAATGCATTTCAAGGAGGAAACGCTAGAACTGAGAGGTGCGAATATTACAGAAAAAACCCCTAAAAATACTGTTGAAATCGGCACAAGTATCTTCGCTAGTATTAAGGAGACTACGTCGATGGACCTGTAAATATAATTTTGTTTGTTTCAGGTGAAATTATTTATTGCACATCGTGAGAAGCTGGATTAAATATGGAAGGCGGGGTTTGGGGCATTGTGGTCATCATATCAGCATTCATGATACAGTTTGTTGCTTATGGGATAACTGGTTCCATTGGTATTTATAATGTGGAATTTCTGGAACATTTTGATACCACAGCTTTTGATATATCCTTAATGTCATCTATCAACCTCGGCATGTTTTTGGGTGCTGGTAAGTAGATTTAACATAAGGGTTTGTTTTGCGAAAAGGTTTAGAAGTGCCGAATCGCAAAATATAGGGATTAGATAGAGGTGTAAAGAAACACGGATTGTCATTTGTTTAGTCACTGTTTCGATCCCGCGATTTTACAAGAAAATCTGACTGCTTTTGTGGCTTCATATTTTTATGTTATTCCTGAATGACATATCTTTAATGAAATTGAGATCCATGGCAAAACCTTACACTGGATACTATAAGATAGAACTTTGCTAGACATGCCTTCTAGATCATCATCTGATCAGGTGCCAGATATTCTTAGAATAGGTGGAAATTATTTTGGGACTGAATCTGACTTTGTTTCAACAGTGACTAATGCTGCTTTCCTTTAATTTTGTTTAATACACACCCTCTACTCCGCCCCTATTGAGGATTTAAAGTCTGTATTTTTTTTTCTATTTAAAATAACCAGGTCCCATAGCAAGTTATCTAATGGACAGATATAGTCACCGTAAAGTGGTTTTAGTTGGTGGATTTATGAGTTCTGTTGGTATTTTAGTAATGCCATGGTTACCTGGTATTCCATATATGTATCTATTTTATGGTGTTATAAATGGTAAGCATAATTACCCACCATGTATACACAGGGAGAGGGGATTTTACCAAGGATAAGCCTGTTCCCCAATCCCATTCAGATATCCCAAATAACAATATTGTTTTAATAAAAATATCATGTATACACAAAAAACTAATCGGTACATTAAAAGAAATAACATAGGTCAAAATATCCATCCTTGCAGCTTAATAATGACGGGCTGGAACGACCAGAAGATTTTGTTTGTGATAGGAATTAGCATATCATTCTCCTTTTAACCAATCGGTGAAATAACATGGCATTTGCCTCTGTGTGCAGTATAAGATTTGATTATTACGTTTCAGGGTTAGGTGGTTGCTTTTCCTATGTACCGTCACATGTATTAAGTGGACTATATTATGATAAATATCAAGGTTTAGCTACTGGATTAGCTACCGGAGGTTCTGGTCTTGGTATAACCGTTGGACCTATGCTAATAGCTTATCTGATTGAGGAATATACATGGAAGGGGTCATTATTGATTTTATCAGGAATATCTTTCAACGTTCTTGTTTTCGGTGCTTTACTTCGTCCACCACCTCCGAGAACTATTACAGAAATAGAAGTGCCGACAGTGTCGGCGGATTTAGCGTTCAGTGCGAAGAAGAAAATTCCCGAAAATGGCACCATCGTGGTACATGGTATTGACGACACTGTCACTTTATCTTTGGATATAGTCCCGACGAAAGGTTTGGACGACGAAAACTCAGATAAAAATAAGCCTCATCAAAAATCATATCTGCACAAACTGTTTAAACGTATTTTAACAAATGTGGATTTTATGATATATTTCATCAACAATATCTTTTGGAATATTGGGTTAGCCGTAGCTCTGGCGTTTTTGGCAGAGTATTGTGTCCAGCAAGGAATATCAAAAATTGACAGCTCCCTTGTTGTGACGATGGTGGGTTTAGGGAACTTTTTGGGCTGTCTCTTCGGAGGCGTGTTGAGTAACATCAGACGACTGGACAGCATATGTGCATTTTGTATGGTGAATATATTATCAGGTGTCTGTCTAATGTTGGTCCCAACATTAACATCATATACACTCATTGTTACTGTTTCGTTTTTCTTCGGGTTATTTACTGGAATAATTCTTGGCTATCTCTTGGCCATCACAGGAGAAATACTTGGACCCGAGGATTTTGGGAATGGCGTTGGTGTTATAATGATAGCTAATGGACTTGGTGCCTTTGCTGGACCAATGATAGCAGGTAAGAGCCTAAATGATTAGATCTTTTGCCCCATGTGCACACATTGTAAAAGAAAATCATGATGTCCGCATATTTTAATTCATTTAAGTTTATGTTTAAGTATATTGTCGCCCCTTTGTCCATCCGTTTAATTCTTTGTAAATATATATTTTTTTTAAATATGACGCTATAAGATAGATAGGTGGATCCAATATAAGTATCATAAAGGTGATCTAAAACTCCATTTATTAACTGCAGAACAAAACAAAAAAAAGAAAACCCAATTAGATGAAAAATCCCAAAGAAAAATCAAACTAGACCGGAAATAAACGGGATATTTAATTCAACAAAATCATCTCTAGTCAGTGGGGTGGTGGTCCTGGTGTTGGTCTGGTGTTAATGAATAGATTCAGAAACAAGATGTCGTCGTTAAATATATGTTATTAAACGTTTTGTCGGAGAGTAAACCTAAAACATCAGAACTACAATGATATAGAGCTTCTGTGATATGTAAATATTTCGTTTCTTGAGCTAAAAGTCTTACATTTATGAAATTTTTGTTGTTTTTATCAATTTTATTAACATGCTTAACCCGTTTAAATGGCATGGCAACCTTATTTACACATATATTATACAGATGCTAACATATTATTATATATTTTGTAACTGCCACACGTATAATATATATTAATAAATTTAAATGCTTTCCGAGCATATAAAGCATTATAAAGCGTGTCTTGTGGGATATTACATGGAATGGAAGGAAATTGAATGACTTCAGAAGGTAATGGTTCAGTTGTTCACTTGTAGTTTATCACATATCTATGCTAACTTTGACCGACTTTCTACACTTGACATATCGTTCTGAATATGTAAATCGACACAATTACCGGACGCTACAAAAGGAATTACCACCCTGCATTTCCTCTTATTTCGGTGTCTACGAATGTAGTGCGAGTTAGATTTTGAGTGTCTCCCCTCTTTGCTCCCATATTGCAAGCGTATCTATGTTGAATTAGTGGTGTAGACTAATTTCAATTTTCTATCTGGCTTGGTGTTTGATTGAAAATGAAATGAGAATAGAAGAGTTTTTTTTTCTTTGTTTGAGCACTACCACAGTGCAATGCAGTGTATAGTCATTTGGGTGGTACGTAAAATATTGGGTTTTAACGTCCTACTTTTCTAGCTAATAAAGAATGGAATTAAATTACACATTTTCAAGCACGTGGCCCAATCTTTTGTAAATCGAATTAATTCGATTTAAAAAATGAGGTTTATTGAACACGTCCCGATATCAGAGAGTGGATTTATGAGACCTGGGCCCCAATCCGCTTCCCGGAGAATTAAGTGGTAAAGTTGATGTTAGGTGTATGTTTGTCTCACTTGGCTAGCTGTCTTCACATTTATGGTATATATTTTCAGGTTATATAGAAAGGAGGAGTGGTGGTTTAGGTGGTGGACTTTTAGTTGGTGGAATATTTTGTGTTATTGCTGGATTTACAATTCTACTTATTCCAGTCAGAAAATGTTTTCTTAAAAACAATAGACAAAAGCCTGTGGAAGTTTACATAGGTCCTATGAAAGATGCTTCCATCGGGACATTGCCAGTGTTAGTGGTGCCAGCTATTACAGCGGATGGTTTATCAGACGAAAAAGTTATTCTCGGTGGCGCAATTCACAGTTGTTTACAGAAACCCAGCTTCTTCAAACAAGTGAATCTTGAAGATGAAGAGTAAAATTATTTAATTAATTAATTAGCGCACCATTCTAAGATTAAACATACATTATACAATTGCAGGTCTTTCTTTAGGCTTGAAATGTTATCTTTATTATTAATTAAGACATTAATTAACTTATTCAGACCATAATCAGCTCTCGATGTCATCGCTAGTCTGTGATATTTACTGGATTTGAATCCGACTTGCTGTTCAATGCTCTTTTTTTTTATCGTATCTCGGTTCAGAGTGGAGCAATTTGATTGAAATTTTCAGCATATCCCCTTTACATTATCTAGTTTTTAACTATTAAAGTGAGAACCGCCAACTCTTTATCTAATCTTCCATAATGCCCCTTTAAATAATGTAGTTCTCTATCTACGCATTGTCCTGCTACATTTTCAAATTTTCCCATTTACAGCAAGGAAATAAATATCGAATAAGCATAGCCCTAGATTAACTATTAAGCAAAATAAACACGGGTTAGGGAACCATGGGAAAGGGGAAGCCACGCAAGTGTCGGAGTTACCATGGTTCAAATGACTGTACGTAGCTGAACTGGGCCACAAAATACACATAACGGTAATATACTTCTTTAATTAATCTGCGGTTGAACGAAATTATCTCGGATTTTGCAAACAAAAAACCGAGAAGAAAAGCTATTTTAACTTCAGCATACATGCATGTTTGGTTTCAACTCGAAAGATAAAACTACATATTACGGTTTACTACCGTTTTTAGTGATTACAGGTTACCATAGAGAGCTACAACTCTTGCGATAAACATCGTAACTAATATTAAATTTTGAGAAATATTAGGCCATTTCGATGGCCATATAATTTAGATTAAAAACTCGGGCGATTTAGGCCAGTGAGTATATAGTAACGAAACCAGTTGACCTGTTCCGACAGCCACATCCAAGTCAATTACGCGTATCTGCTTGGTCAGATCTAATATTAAGGCCACCTGCCGATTTCGTCAAGGACACGAGATGTAAACAGGTTTAGACGCATGTGTTTACATCCCGTGACCTTGACGGAATCTGCAGGTGACCTTATTTAGATCTGACCGTATCTACTTAAACTACACAATCAGTAATGGAATGTGCATGTCCTACGATAATCGAAAACGGCGACCCTTTGAAGCAGTCAAGATGAGTCAAAGGTATCGAGTTTTGTCTTTTTAAACTGGTTTATTTGCTGATCGTCTCTGTTTTTCAAAAAACTTAACGTAAGCGTCTAGACGGCATTTAAAACCAGTGTTTATAGTGTCGGAACGGCATATATATATAATTCTTCTTGAATTGGGCACTTGTTCTATAGCATATATTTTTAATTTTCTTGCATATAGCCATGGTACAGTTATTTTTTTATTTTATTCATCTGAAACATCTGTGTAAACTTACATTATTTACAGTAGAACTCTACAAGAAAATTATTTAACTAAATCTAAGACAACATGTGGTTTTGTTATTCTAACGAAACACTTCATCCTCATTAGTTAGTTTATCTTATAGAAAAGCTTACAGGCTTAAGATAAAGACGTGATTGTTCACAGCTAGTAGATTATTCTATATCGGATCACAAAATAATTGTTTTATCAACAACAAAACACGCGACGTCACTCGGGACATATGAATAGAATACTTCCTTGTACCTATACGGTGAAACAAGCCCGGGGAGTATATTGTCAAGTCATTTGTCATTTCTTTAAAAAAAATAATTGAAAGCCCACACCCATCTGGTAACAAGAGATAGCGTATTATTTCATTTTTTTTACAGTGTATAGAAATTACACGTACAGTCGGTCTGATACAAAAATACAAACAAATTAAAAATGTTTCCATCTGTGACTTCTGATAAAAGGTTATCTGAAATTGGTGTTGCTCACTGAGATAACGAGAATAACATATTTACACTGTACGCCCTTCCTATATAATCATACGAGGGCTGACTGAAAAGTTTTAAGTAGAGACGTGAAAGACCTGTACAAAGTCGATGGTTTCCATTTATTTTTCTACATAGTAACCTTCGAGATAAACACACTTTTGCCAACGATGTTGCAAAGCCTGGATGCCGGTAGGGAAGAAACATTCTCATCCATGCCTAAAACAAAAAGTCGTTTACAGTTGATATGACGTCGTCATTACTAGGAAAATGACGACCTGCGAGTTCGCTATTCATTTTTGGAAACAGGTGGAAGTCTGACGGGTCAAATCGGGCCAAAAAATTATCAGGATCTGCTTCAAAACGGTAGAGATTGTCACCGGATGTTTCTAACACGACACGTTTCTAATGGGCAGTCAAGAGCTTTTCTTGGCTCCTATCTTGCAGACACGTTTGGCATTCCTAACTCGTTGGCGATAATGTGCTCATCCCTCTCATGAGAGATGCCCACAACACTGGCAATGTCAGTCATCAATCGTCGATCAGCCATCACAATGTCAGGCACCTGGGTAATGTTTTCTTGAAGGATGTTGTTGGTGGCCTTCCAGGACGCGGGCCATGTCAAAACTCTCTCCCGCTCTCGCAGCCCACGTCTGTACTGTCTAAAAGGATGGGGCATTATCCCCTGAAGTGGAGATCATGTCGGCATGTATCTGTGTCCAGGTTAGTTCTTTCAGTTGCAGGTACTTGATGACTGCCCTATAGCCAGTTTTGTCCATTGCTGGTAATTTCAGTGGGTAGGTTCACAAGATGGTCTGGTACGAAGAAAATAATAACACTACAGTTGCAGTTCTTATGTTTATGATTCATTCAAAGATTGTAGGCCTACTTGTTGATGGCAAAAGTTTGCTTCAGCCCAATTGATCTATCTATTGTCGACTGAGAACTTTTGAGCCAGCCCTCATATGTGTGTAGTATGTGACTACATGAATAATTAAAATTTGATTATGAAATGAAATGGGGTTAACGTCCTATTCTGCACCGACTGGGCTACTGAAGACAGGCATACATTGTGTAGTATGCTATGTGAGAATTTTTTCCCGAACAGCGTCGCTACACCCTACTCTTTTCAAATTCCAACTGTCAAGGGGACTTTGACGTACACATCACAGCAATGTGTACATAGGACCTCCATTTTTTTGTCCTATCAGAACGACGATATATGTTATCCCATGTCAGGCCCTCCGTCCTGCAGGATTGACATGTTGGGGAACCACGTTGGAAAATCCTGATGAACTTTCTCAGCCAATACAGGGATCAAACACAGGACCTCTAGGTTAGCAAGCCAACTTCTTACCCATTGAGTCACCTTGGCTCCAATGTGGCTACATGAATAATTTAAACTTGATTATGGTTTAAACATGCATTATGCAAGAGCTAAATCTGCCTATTGCAAGTCTTTATTTAGATTTCAGATGTTATAGAAATTATTAAATGTGCATTATGCAAGAGCAAATCTGCTTATTACAAGTCTTTCTTTAGGCCTGAAATGTTATCTAAATTATCAATTAGACATTAATTAACTTATCCAGACCATAATAAACTCTCGATGTCAAGGCTAGCCTTCGATGTAGGCTGGATTAGATTCCTATATGCCGCTAACGGCCAAAGATAATTAAATCAGAAAAAGTGGATAATCGTGACTATGCTGTTTATATTAATGATTTTAGTAATGATAACCGAGACTATGCAAAAATTTCACCGGCTTCTTTCTCGGCTCATAGTGGATCAATTTGACTGAAATTTTCAGCAAATTACCTTTACACTATCTAGTTTTTAACTATTATAGCGAGAACTGCCATCTCTATATCTTATCTCCCATAATGTATCTTTAATTAGACCTTTATTTACATGACAAGCTCAAATTCAACTTTGTAGACCATCGGATGGCTTGGATACAGCTTGGATTTAAAACAGTCTTCCATTTAAAGTTAAATCAAGAAATGGCCGACCAAGCTAACGTTTACCGTTAGTCACTGACGTCACTACCACAGACTACCGATGAAAGGCCTGTCAAGCGAGGGTACCATAGCCACTGAGAAAGTTACTTAATAATCTGAAAATATGTGGGTGGAGTAATCATCTGTCAATCAAACGATCAGAAATTCTCGTAAACGGTGCAGACACAGTTGATGCCTATTTCTAGTCCAAACTTCCAACAGTGACAACTTCATTTAGAATAAAGTAATTTGACTGAAATTTTCAATATTTTCTTTTTTTATCATCTTTTTTTGAATTATTATAGCAAGAATGGCAAACTCTTTATTAAACTCCTAACTAATGTATCTTGAAACTATGTTTCAGTTAAATGCATGGTTTCTGAGATATGTGCTCTAAATGAATACCAAAACTGATGTCAAATGTGTTTACATAGAAACATTTTATTCTTCTCAACTGAGAATTTTCAAAAATTAACAAAATGCACAACTAATATAATAGGTTGATATCTATGCAAAGTTTCATAAAACTATTCTATAACCGGTTGGAAGTGGAGAGCTTATTTCGATATACCCTCCCTAACGTGGCATAGCAATCAATAAAGACTTTTTATTTTGACTCTTTTATAGTTATAGAGCATGCACGTGATCAAGGGCAAAATCCTATGATGTCATTATTGGAAGTAGTATTATCATTTTAGAAGTAAACAATGGTAATAACTCATAAGTAATTATCGGAAATCACCGATAAGTAATCAGGGGCAATAACTAACAATGTGTATAATTTTATGAAAATACACCAATAACTTCAATCTCTGGTGGGTCCAAAGAGAAACCGGCTGACACTGGCATTGCCAATGTTCAAGCATATTTCAATGTGGGGTACAAAAAAAGGCATGCAGACAAAAAAAGAAGATATACATTCCTGGAAGATGAGCTGTCCGCAATACTAAACAGACTATCTTAGAACAATTACTAATGATTTGCAAAAATTGTTATTCCTTTTATTATCTAAAATAAAGATGATATCAATAAAAATTTAAAACAACATCACAAAAACAACCTGTCAACACATCACCTTCCAAAAAAACAATATTAATAAAAGTATACTAATATTTATAAAGTCTGCATACAACAAATTTTAAACTAGGGTATTTTAACACGAAACATTATGAAGAAGAATAAAGCACCTCTCATTTCAACCTAAAGTCTGTTTTTGTACTGCTGTTGTGCATGGTTTTCTTAAATAAATTTTAAACTATATACTTGGTAACTAGGTAAGGGGTGGAAAGTGATTGGGGAGATGACCAGTCATTCATACAATTGAACAATAAAATTCCTTACATGGGTTAATTAATGACTTGATATTGGTACATTAAACATTAAACTGTGCTTAACCTGGCATAATAATTCACATCATAAAAAGTTCAATTAACATTAAACTTTACACCTGTAAAAACTGAACAATCGTTAACCAAATATTATGCAAGAGGCCTTAGGATCTTGTTAAGTAAGAAACAATATAAGCCATGTAGTTGTTAAAATGGGGAGAGGGGTGTGGATGGCCGAATGGTTAGTGTGTGCGCATTGAATCATAAGGTTTGTCATCGGTTACCCAGTGTACTCATTCCGTTCTACTCCACTATACCCTGGGTTAATCTATGGGGGAGACAAGTTTTTAAGTTATCCGCCCTTGATGATTGTGCTACATGTATTTTTATCGACCAATCTCATAAATTGTTATTTGAAAAGGAAGTTTGCAAAGGGAAATAACTCTCATCTGACAATGTTAGGAGTTGGCCTATTCCAAATGCGTAATTATTAAAAACCAATTATATATTACGTTAATGAAGACCAGACGTTCATATAATAATGTAGGGTCATTAGTTTTATTTAGAATCGTTCGTGTCCACGTGATATTTTATGTCCACGTGATATTGTAGACAAGTTATTGTGAATCAAATTGCCAAGTATAAGTTCAATAATAATAAACATAACAGAATGACATATTTCAGACAAAGAACGAATAATAATAATAAACTGTTTTCTGATTGGTTCGTAGACTGTAGCTACATTCTAGGCCAGGGCAGATAATTTGAAATCGTGGAAACCCTATGGATTAACCCAGGGTATAGTGGAGTAGAACGGAATGAGTACACTGGGTAACCGAGGATGTGGTTGTACTGACAAGGAGTAGAGTCGCCTGTCAAACCTTGTGGGTTTTCTCCGGGTCCTCTGGTTTCCTCCCACTGCTAAAGACTCCTAAGCGCAAGCGAATTATTTAAATAAAATTGAACCATGTTAGTCCCAAAATGACGTAGTTTGTGTCATGTGAGAAAGTCTATCACCCTTCCTCTCTCCCTTTGGGTAATTTGTATAGCATGGCTAGGAGGGCTAGATTAATCAAAATATTATAGATATATTCCATGGTTAGGATGACATTATTCTGATGATTATATGTATGGTTAGGGCGATTGGTATTTATGTTCCAGTATGTCCTCATCTTCAGTTATGCTGGGAAAATATAAATTAAAACGAAACTCTAATGCAATGGGCTTGTGATGAGAGCTTTATCTTACACAGATATCCATGTACAATCAGCATAAAACATGCTTTTGGATCTGAGAACATTTTGGGCAGGTCATTTGTTTGCCACAAAATTGGCCACAACCTAAATTGAATATAACAAAAATTGTACTAGGGATGAAAAGGGATATGTGCGCAGTCCTTTCCCTAACGAGACATAACATCTATACAAAACATGTGGAACTGCTTGAGAAAATGGTGTTCACAGGTTTGTGAGTACAAGGTATATGTATAAAAAATTGGTACACACTACAAGAGAGTCTATAGATGAACATTTCCTAGCATTGACCGTATTCATGAGGAATGGACTGTCATTTCAATTAACCTTAATTAGGACGACAGTACCATATCAGTGTTCTTCAAAATATTCAGAACCTTAAGAAAACAAATAATTTCCATCGGCTAATTTATAATGACACCATTTTATAGCTTACCATGGGTTAATATCAGATTTGTGTACTATTTTCCCATTTCCTCTAAGTAAGGAAGTAGTAAATACAACTCAAACAGGGTTGCTAACACCTATATAGTTACAGCTTTTAAATTTGGACACACCATTATCTCCACCAGTCCCAAATGCAGATTTGTATCCGACATATGATGTACAAAACTTAATAATGACAATGTACATTTTATAATACTTATTACAAGACATAACATGGTATAAGATTTAACAAGTTGCGGTATAAATGTGATCTAATACGTAGTGGTATAGTGCTAACCAATAAATCATTCACTCATAAATAACAATTAAAATACTTTAAATTGTAAACTATTTAAACTAAAACATCTGAGCATTTATCTACTGATAACAGTATTTTATAATACTTATTACAAGACATACCATGGTATAAGATTGAACAAGTTGGACTATAAATATGGTCTCTTATACGTGCTGGTATAGTGCTAACCAATCAATCATTCATACACAAATAACAAATAAAATACTTTAAATTGTAAACTTTTTAAAATAAAAAATCTGAACAATCATCTATTTTGATACCAGTATTTATAATAATATTGCCTAACATGGTCTTTCCATGTTAAACATCTGTAGCTAGTGTTATTTCTGTTTCCTTACACTGTCTACTGTCATCCTTCAGAGCTTTTTGTATAGGCATGAGAACCAACAAACATCCACCTATTACACATATTACACCTGCTGTATATAAACTTGGTTCATAACTTCCATACACCTCTTCTATTTTACCTATAAAATACAAATTATACATATTTAATCTTGCCTGCATCACAAAATTTAGTCACTGATTTGAATAAAAATGTAAGTTTTAATTAAGTTAATGCTGTTGTGAATCACGATAGCTACGCAAGATATAACTATATACAAGTAGTACACTCTATATATATATCGAGACATGACGGTTCAAGAGATGATGTACCTTATCTAGGATTTTCAAGATAATATATATTTTTATAAAAACCAATAATAATCAATATGAACATCACCTAGTTACCCATTGAAATAAAATATCAGTGGACCAAGAGAATTTTCTAGATCACTCAAACAAGATTTTGTTTGTTTCATCCATAGTAGGTCGAACAAAATTGTCTTTGGGTCGAAGCAAATGTCCATTTGCTCAGTTACTTATTCTCCACCATTTTAAAATCAGTATTTCTACTGGAATTACTCTTTTGTTATAAATAGTCATTTGGAATGTCCTTTGTTACAATTGAAATTTATGAGAACACAGCATTGAATAACTATAAGTATCTCATTGTCATCAAATGAAATTATCAGACAAGTCAGAGAAAATCACCCACAAGTCTAGCTAGTCACACATGGAAGTTGAAATCCTCCCCAACTTTTATCAGTCAACAATGGAAGTGGAAATCTTTCCCAACATTTATCAGTCATCAATGGAAATGGAAATCCTCCCCAACTATCATCAATCACCAATAGATACATGTAGGTATAGACATATTATACAGTCCTTCATGTTTATAAAATTGTGCCGGAGCCATAAAAAGCTCCTGACATCTTGAATATATGCAGTTTAAAAGTAAACAAAAACTGAAAGTAGTTTATTAATCTCAATATTTAGGAGAGCGATTTAGCTAATTTGCAGGAGTCTTTATTTAATGACTCCTTCGAGAGGAGCAGGAGCGAAAGCTCCCCTTAAACATGAAGGACTGATTATACAATTACTGATTAATACAAATATTAATTAGACTTTTTTATTATGCGTCAGTATTGTTCTTACCAAAAGAGCATATAATATTGTTTATTGCTTACCTGCTATTGGTGGTCCTGCAAATGCCCCGATCCCATTGGCTAATAGTAGATAACCTAATCCATGACCCAGATGTTCCATACCTAAAAAATCTGTTACTAAAACTAACAACAAAGCCAGAGTAATACCAAACATAAAACCAGAAACAAATCCTACTGCTAAATAATCCACATAATCTGATATCCACACAAATATAAAGCAACATACACCAAACACAATATTACTAAATGAAAATAATCCTAATCTGTTAATCCAAGGAACATTGCCTAATATAGCTCCTGCTACTCCTCCGATAAATGTTCCTAGTCCAGTTATTGTTACTATAAACGCTGCATCAATTCGTTCAACACCTTGTTCAACAAGATAATCAGGTATAAAAGTTACCGTAATAGCACACGAACAGTTCCAACAAATATTATTAATACAATAAACTACAAAACCAAAATTCTGGAACACAAAAAGGTGCTTATGGTAAATTTTTGCCAAACACGAGCCTGCAACTTTTTTCATAATTGGGGTTTTATTAACAGACACAGTTGAATTCTTATTCTCCTGGATATCCAAAAGAGCCATCTTAGTTTCATTATTAATGTCGGTTTTAATATCTGTATTGCTATCTGATAAAGAGGTTTTTGTTGATTGAGGAACAGGTCTTAACAAAGCGCCAAATACTAAAACATGAAGATTTATCCCACTGATAATATATAAAGATCCCTTCCATGTGAATTCCTCGATGAGGTAACCAGCTAAAATAGGCATGACAGCTGATCCTAGACCTGACCCACTTGTAGCTACTCCAGTTGATAAACTCTGATACTTATTATAATACAATCCACTCAATACATGTGAAGGTGTGTATGACATACAACATCCAAGTCCTGTGAATACAAAATATTAAATTTACATAACACATTAATAAATTCATCTAAGAATTGGATTAGGCATTACTGGTTTAAATGTGAACTAAAGTCTTTGCAGACGTTTTATATTTTATTCAATATCTAGTATTAGTGTTACAAGTGGTCCACGTCGTCACAGCAGTTATGTCCACATGAAGGTTTTCGACCCATCTGAACTACTGGGCACTGTTGTTTCCAACCCACTCCCATCCTGTACCACTGACAAGGGGAACCGCACCGGAGTTGTCTTGTACATATCTGTGTAAGTGTAGTCAGTGTGAAAATAAAACAAAAAGACTGTTAAAGAAACTGAATTTGATGTTTATACATGTAGTTACAGCAATGATAATAACGACTAACTTTGGTGACATCTAAAATGAAGAGTAACTGCGTAATTTTAATTTACTTCAATAAATAATTATTTGTTGCCTTATATTTATATTTGTAAGCTAATTACATAATTATAGATATGGTTTCATTTTAAATATGTAGGCCGTAAATCTGAACTAGAAGTTTACAGCTACATGTATGGGCATGGATTTAGGGGGGACGAATAGGTCTCTGCCCCCCCCCCCCCCAAGATTTTGATCGCCAGAACAGATTTTGAGGTTTATATCCACATGATGGTGAGCTTGTTTCCACGTATCTGGAACTGAATCGGGACATGGAACAAGAATTGCCATTCTTCAAGCGCCAGTTTTCGGCCAAATCTATTTCACTTGTGCACGAAGCATTCCTCATTATGTCACCTGGAGTGAGGCAGACATTTCCTTCTGTCGAAGCTCTTCTCATCTCACACTGCTGAACCCCGCTAGTTCCTGCTCAGCTGAGCGATCCTTCATCACTCTGCGCCGTATCAAAACTTGGCTGCGAAACTCCATGACGCAAAACCGACTGAGCCACTTGATGGGGTGTGCGGTGCATAATGACCCCCTTCATATCGCCAAGATATTGAAATAGAACAGTCCAAATCGTAGAATGAACGTCTTTAGGCGATTCACTTAACTTCATGAACAATTAATATTTATGCAGCTTTGATGTAGGGAATCAATTTTTCCATATTGTCATCATATTACCCCTAGTTTAGTTACAGCCTTCATCGAAATAACACTGGTTCGTAATTATTTATCTCGTTTGGTAATGAAATGTTCCAGATTCCAGGGTATGTCCATCCCCCCCCCAAAAGTTATGACAAATCCACGCCCTTGGCTACATGTAGTAAAAATACTGTAGGGTCTAACTGAAAGAATATGTGGGTTGTGGGATTATATTTTGTGAAAAAGATCACATGGTTTCAATGCGATTCACAATACTACTGACATATTCTGGTCTTAATTACTTCATAACCATATTGCTCAACCTATATCAAACATATCTCCTGGCTCATCAGATTCAAGCCATCCAGCCCATAACTTCTGGGTAAACACCAGCCCACCAACCCTCACAGCCCCCCCCCCCCCCGACCCGAGACATCATTAATGATATAAATATTGGGCTTGTGTGCCCACCTATGATCTTGTGCATCATACAGCATCTACAGTCACCTGAAATACTTTTCTCGATTGCAGACATTTGATAGGAAGGGAGATAACTCTTTTTTACCGTTAATGGATTTCCAAAATTCCTTTTTCAACCTCAGCATTTATAATATTATAACATTCCAACTTCAGAATTATTAGTATCACTATAGCATTTACTTGACAATTTTGACGATTTTCATCAGGCCCTAAATCGAGTTATTGCAAACATTTTGCTTGAAACTCTTGGGATTTGTGTTCCTGGTGTTATAAGCATTCGAAAAATTTATAGTTTGTTTCGCATCGAGGACCTGGTATCGAAACTTCATGCTAGGAATTTTGGCTGCAGGCCTAACAAACCAATACTTCCATTTGGCAGGATTAGTGAACAAAGAAGAGCTGTGATTGACTGGTTCTATACCCTTGATCCACATAATATATCAGATGAGACCTAGTGTTATTGAGAGATACAAGAATGTAAACAGAATAAAGATTTAGATCTTTTGGTCACTTGTTTGGAGATAGAAGGGGTTTAATTTAATGTCTACTCAACACACAAACTATGTCATTTCGGGACTAAAAAATATGGTACATAATTTATTTTATTTCAATAATTCACCTATATCAGGGCGAATAATATACATGTATTCCTCACCATTTGACTCATTGACCGACCTTATGATCTAAAGCACACTTAAAAATACATTATGCAAGACCTGAAATGTTATCTGAATTATTAATTAGACATTAATTAACTTATCCAGACCATAATCAACTCTCGATGGCATCGCTAGCCTGCGATATTTAGTGGATTAGAACCCTGTCTGCTGCTCCTGATTGAATCAAAAATTGGATAATCCAGACTATGTTTTCTATCGTACTGACTTTAGTAATGACGATTGAGGCTGGGCCAAAAATACTCGGTTCAGGGTGGATCAATTTCACTGAAATTTTTGGCAAATTGCCTTTACATTATCTAGTTTTTAACTATTATAGTGAGAACTACCAGCTCTTTATCTAATCTTCCAAAATGTATCTTTAGTCATAATAAAATAACATATACTCACCATTTAGTAGACCATAAAAGATGTATAAAGCTGGTAAGTATGGCAATATAGGAATCATCAGTAAACCAACTGTACTCATTACACCTCCAACTAATACGATTAATCTATGTGAGAACTTTGTCATCAAATAACCCACTAATGGACCTTCAAATATATCCAATTAAAAATTAAAGATAGCTTCTACCCATACATATGCATAGATCTTCATGATCTTTTCATAGATTGTGAACTGTTTTCTGTAACATGTTCACAAGCTTTAACCGTTAAAGTATTAAAGGGAAAATACCTCTGCTAAATGTATTCAATATTCAGCTTGCATAAATTTAGACGAGAAAGTGGGATAACTCTGTAACTTGCATTTGAAATATTCTGAATTCATTTAGGGTTCCTTACGTGGAAACTAACATTATCAAATATGAGTCATGAATGGAAACATATTTCCATTAACATTACTTGTATCACCAATCAAAAGCCTTTAGTGTTTAATTTATTTACAGCCTTTAGCTTGTTACTACTACTATCTCAAATTGCAGTTTCATTTTTTTACACCTACATTGTGTCATACAAGTGTAATAAACAGATAGCTTACTGATACCTTATCATAAGATAAATAATGAAAACCATAGGCCTAGTTTATTCCCTAACCTGTAAACTTACAAGACAGGCAACAAAATACACCTCAGTTGGTAAATGCAATTCCGAATTGGTAAGTAGTAAAAAATATATAGCCAGGAGTGTCGGAATACTTTGTTTTTAAATATTAATTTAGAAATTCACACAGATTATTTCTTAATAATCAGGCCTAGAAATAATGAATTTAGTTGTAACTGACAATATGACAGGCACTACTCTAGTGAACTAGACCTGACATTTTGACCTTTGTGCAGAGTGCTGGACATGCATTAATAATATCAATAAGACAATTATGTGCCAGACAAAACGAAAGGTACCAGACCCAACTGTGTCTGAATTAAAGCCCAAATTTGTACCTGACATTGTCTGTTGGTTGCCAACTAATTTCAGACTTAGTTTTCAAATGTTATTCTTGAGAAACATGAAGGATTTAATGAGGTTATAACACAGTATGTTTGAACTTCAAAGACAGAAGGTGGTTTGTTTTCCTACACTAATCACATTAATTTTGCTACTTAACTATAGTTTTTTGTGTCCAAATTGTGGAATAAAACATAGGACAGAAAGACAGGCTTTTTTCAGCTTACTTTTTCCCACAGAACTTTTAAGTTTCCATGAAATTGACGTTAATGTGTTTTGCTGTATTTTAAAGTCAACAAGATTCTACATGTAGTATCTAATCAGTTTTACTGACCTGATCCAAGGAAAACACCAAGATTTATTGACAGTATAAATGATACTGCAAAAGCATCATCTTTAAAATAATCCAAAAACTCCACTGCATAGACACCCATAGCAAAACTTGTTCCAAAGGTGATAAACTGGATCATAAATGCTGCAAATACAATGACCAAACCCCATCTTCCTCCTTCCATCACTGAATTTTATGATTTAGTGCCAGTATCCCATTTATTCCAATATCCAGATATTATAACAAGGATCAAAAAGTGCTATGATAAATATGTCTATGACTCACTTTGAGTTTTTGAATAATTATTCAAAATTATACAAATCAATAAGCAGATAATTTATTTTTCACAGATGAACTACATGTACATGCATACTGATGAGCGTTTCTTCTTTCAATATTTCCTATAAGAGATATCAAATTATAAATATCATCTACAAATTAAATGGTTCATTTAAAGACGCCTGTTACAAATAAGATAAAATCAGCATTTTTTCACTGAAAATACTTAAAGCGGCATTAGGTAAGATTAGTTAAAAAATTGATAATGAAAAGAGAATATCCTGAAAATTTTAGTCAAATTACTTCACCCTGAGCCTAGATATCGGTGATACAATTATAGCCTAGCCTCGATTGTCATTAGACTCATTACCACCATTATTACGATAATAAACAAAGTCCCGATTGTCCATTTTTACAGAAACATATATAAATCTACTTATATCGCAGCCATCCGATGGCATCAAAGGTTCATTATGGTCTTGGTAAGTTAATACATGTATAATTAATAATATATATAACATTTTCAGGCCTAAAGAAAGACCTGCAATAGACAGATTTTGCTCTTGCATTTTGCTCGTTTAATTACTTAATATATATCTACTCAAAATACTTGTTTACCAAACATTTTATATCCTAATTACTTTAGGAAAAGGAATATTTTTATTATATTTATATGTGTAGCCTATGCTATAAGAATTTCTTGTAACACTGATAAATCACAAGCATTTGACAGATCATGGAATTAACGCCAAGACTGGCTTACATTCTACTATAATATTGTAAGTATTTGTGAAACACCTACGCCCCATCTTTTTTAAAATTCTGTTATACCACATATCTGCTGCTATTATATTTTCGTGAACCTCCCAATACATCGCATGGACTGAAAGAGTGTTTATTCCTCTTTCATTGTCTGAAATCCTTCCCCGTAAAGCACCACCTTCTATTTTGAGGTCAATTTTGCTTTTACAAACATCTGGTGCTATTTCATCTTCTTGAGCCAATCAAGACTTGGCATGGAATGAAAGTCCTCTACATTGCATAGAATCCATCCACGTAAAACAATACCCCCACCCCCGTCTTTTTTGTCAATTCTGTTTTACCAAACCTCTGCTGTTTTATTTTCTCAAGTCATCAAATAATATGGCACCACAGATTATTCCTGAAAGTGCTTGACATACTCTGCAATTCAGTTTTCTAATAGATTGCATTGTTGAATTCATTTTACTCATGTCTTAGATCTGATCGTAAAATTATTTGTTGTCAATGAAAATTTTATATCTTATATGTTAGAATAGTCCCATAATAATATTTAACTTCTTTAAAACTGAATGATGTTGTCCACCATTATTCTAAATTGAGAAGTTTGATGACTTAATCAAACATGCACAGAACTGCATCACAAAATCCAATAAATCTTTACTATATAGATAAATGTTGATTTGGGTTTTAGTGATGCTAACCCAGGACCAGATTACGGTAAGGGGGTAGCTGCCTGGGCTACAGACAGGGCCCCTATATTAAAGGGGCCCCAATATTAAAGGGACCCCTAAAAAAGTTATAAAACTGCTTTATATAAAGAAAATAATTTTATATTTATCATGTTGTATATTTTGTGCCTAATAAATATATTTATCGACCGTACTGACATACAAATTGCATTTGTGTGAGTGTGACCGACAATGACCATAATATGCCCCTTTTCACTGTTGATGCAAGGTCCCCACTGACTTTTTCAACCAGGGGCCCCATTAATCTTGTCATCATGCTAACCAAATGACTTTTCACATCTATTAGCATAACGAATTATAGTTTACTTAATTTCAAGTTATTAGAAATCAAATATGGGAGAGCTTTTTATTTGGCACCTTACCTCATCAAATAGCCCTCCTTATTTCATCAGTTTGCATGGTTTAATTAGCAAACAATGTTAAAATGTGACCATCTTAATCATAAAAAGATATCTACTGTAATTCATTAGAGCTCCTTTATGTATAGCAAATAAAGCAATGTAGTAATAGATCACAGGAAATGGGTGCTATATGTATAATAAACCAGTGACCTGTTTGCTGGACTGTAGACTATCCTTTTGCTTAAAAAGTGTTAAAGACCTTAATTAATCCAAACTTTTAATGTTAATCAGTTTAGTATTTAATTGTGTCATGTTTAAACCAGCGTTTCTGTCCAAAGAATTCTTGGTGATAAGCTTGGTTGATATAAAGTTTAATGAATGAATAGTATTATTAGTAACATTTTAATTATTGAATTGTGTGTAACCTAATCTTATTGCTATGAACAATAATCCAAGATCCACTTTTATTTCTAAGATGCATTTGTCCATTAAATTATGTAGAGTAAGGTCTTTTATTGTAAATAGTTTCATTATTACATGTGTTGTTATTAGTAAACTATATAAATTAGGCCTTCTTATGTAAATACTTACAAACGAGGGCAATTCCAAAAACACTCACATTGTATTTAGACAGAATTATGGAAGTATCTTGATAGTAACCAGTTGTACTTTATTCAGATCCAGCTTTTCACAATTTGGAGATAACCAGTTAAGTTCATGAATGCAGTAATGAGTAATACAATAAATTTCACTTGATTACACATGTAATTCTGCTGGAGATAAAAAAAAAACATGTCCCTAACTGACATTACATTTCATGGATATCACAAATTCTTACATTTACCTTCATATTAAAATCAATTATATTTGTTGTTCAGGTTGTGTTTTCTTCTTAGTATTGAGCTGTTGTCTAAAAACTTTATTACTGTTAGGCTACTCACATTACCATTTGTACCTGCAATTTAAAGAAGGTTAAATTAAACTACATCATTTATTTGTATGGTATTGATAACTTGATAAGTAATACTGGTTTTAATCATCTTCTATAAGTTCTGATTTTCATCAATTAGGAGCCACAGTAGCTCAGTGAGTAAGATGCTGGCTTGCTAACCAGGAGGTCTTGGGTTCACTCCTGGTGTTGTCCAAGAAAGTTCCTTTGGATTTTCTGGCATGGTTTTCTCTTGTCAGTGGTGCATAATGGAGGTCCTGACAAATGAAAACAGTGACAGCCATTCTGATAGGACAAAAGAAAGAGGTCCTGTTAACTCATTGGCAGGCTGTAGTGTCGCTGTCCGAGCAAAATTTTCCACATATACCCATCTTCATTAGCCCAGTTGGTGCTGAAAAATAAGATGTTCAAGCATCAATCTGATTAAAAATATATGCGGTAACTCACATTATATATATGAACATGTTGATTTTTCTTTGCGGTAAAATTATACTGAACAGCACTATATTTACAATACTGTGATTTTAGTAGTAGTGGGGTGAGCTTATATTTTTTAAAGGAATTTCTTTTTGAACTTTGGACATTAAATTTTTAAAGAAAAAGATATTTTCTATGCATTTCTTTTTCCTTTAAATGGAAGACTTCTTTATTAAAGGGAAGTTGGATGGCTGAATGGTTAGCACGCACGCGTTGTATCATACGGTCTGTCATTGAGTCAACTGGTGGGGTTTCGATTTCCCGGTTGTAATTCAACATCATCATGTGGTTATAATTAGATTATCAACGAACACTTATGTGAAATCTAGAACTGTGTATTGCACCTAATACTATACGAAATCAACTTTCTACATGTAAATACATCCGACCAAATAACTCTTTTAAAGGTAAATTAATACAAATACATTAAGAACACAGTTCAGCTTTTTTGCATCGTACCCAAACACCCAGCACATGAGTAAAATTCATGAATCCGCCCTTCATGTCAAGAACTAAAAGTTGAAACCAACAATGCATTCTCCAACCTGTACATATCCATAAAATATAATTCAGCATATAATTGCAAGGAAATATTGAAATACTCACTGAACTTAATGGAATTATGCCCCCCGTTTCTATCAGTTGACATTATTTCTAATCGCACGTATCACGGTGAAATTACTCCACCATTGTGATCAATATATTTCAGAGTACTCTCCCTTAGATTGCGTTCCGTTCAACCATGATAGAATTATGCGATCTATGCCATCATTATACTGTAGGCTACATTTATTTAAAGGACATTATATTGGTGTCAGTCATTATCACATCACATATGTGATAGAACTGGTTAAACACATTTCAAATATAATTTTAACACAGAGATCATTGCTACGATAGTGAGTTACGAAGTTTTCAAGAATTTGAAAAAAGGGGTGACGTCTTAACTGACTGAAATGACGAGTGATAGATACACAGGCGAATTTTTGCTCACTTATAATTCCTTGGAGAAGAAAACGAGAAAAATAAGTAACTGATCAAATACCCAAAGAATGGGTTTTTAAAAAAAAAAAAAAAAGAACTAGACTACCAAGATGGTAAAACGAAATCTTCAGATAGAGAGAGAGAAATGGGTTTAACGCCCACTCGACACAAACTAGGTCATTTCGGGACTAACACAAGGTTCAATTTTATTTTAATAATTCGCTTGCGCGTAGGGGTCTTTAGCAGTGGGAGGAAACCGGAGGACCCGGAGAAAACCCATGAAGTTGGACAGGCGACCCTACTCCTTGTCACGTACAACCGGGGAATCGAAACCACGCAAGTTGACTCAATGACAGATATTAGCACACGCTAACAATTCGGCCATCACCCCCCACCCCCTGGTCAAAACCAACAGAATGATGAAAAAAAGAAAGGAGAATGATAAATACAAAAGGAGCTCTTTTACTGTTTTTATTGACAATACTCACCTCGGACAGCTGAATACAAATACGTGTTTTAGTAGAGCACATTCTTGTAAAATTTTCACAACACTGAAGGCTGATATTAGGCTATTTAATTAATTTAATATAAGATATGTATCTAAGGCGTCGATAGCTTCTCACTACCACGACAACATGCCGATTAATGATCCACAACCACATAGTTTAAATATAAATCAATAATATCCTTGGTATAACACATACACCCTTCTCGTCTGATTTCAGATTCTAGGCGCAAGAAAACAATTACTTGAAGTCGCGCAGCTTATGAAACCACGTCTCGTCTGTGGAGTTCAGATACCCACAACCTTTTGATTTACAACTAGTCTGGTGTCTCTACTGGTTTCCCCGGGGTTATTGTCCAAATTATCGACTGTAATAATGGTGTCTTGCACAAAGTATGGTATGCACAACCATTCTAGATACAAATGGCAAGTGGTATTATGTCATAATACTTCTTTCCATTTGAGGAATTCAATTAGCTAAGCACCTTGTGAGGTACTTTGGTATATATATATATATATATATATATGTTCTGAGATTTAATGGAATATACTCACATATTTTATAGCCTTGCTAAACATTGCAAATTTCCATGCAGGAGCGGGTCTACTATGAAACTAATGAAGCGTAAGCAGGGTCCCTAATCCAGAAGGGATCCCAAATGCCACATCGCTTAAAATGTTTAGATTTACTCTACTGACGGACCCGTTACTAGAAAAGAATAGGGATGTTTAAGGGCCAATAGCTACAGTTAAACGTTTTCCATGGATCTTATTCCGAGCAAGGATTTGTCATGGGAGTAAGGCCGAGCGAGCTGATCCAGGTAGCTTTACCAACTCTTTCGCGTTGTATGTTTAAGATTCATCTTCATGACGGGTGTAAAATACAGAACCCTACTATCTTGGTGTATTAATATGAAGCTTGCACTCATCATTTCTAAATAATCCACCATAGAGAAATGTGCCAGAGTTGACATAAACTGGCAATAAACTTTTGCCAGTCGGAACAGTTCGATGTTATTAATCAACACCAATCCAATCTGATACCAATCATACTAATCGCTAACTATTTATATTAATTTAGAAATTCTAGCAGTTTAAACTCCTTTGTGCAAAACACTATCAAATAATATCTGTCGATTATCTCCCATTAAACGTAAATGGTTGGCAAACTCATTTTAAGAATGGGGGTTTCATAATGTGAAACTGTGGAAGGTTTTCTGGATACAGTAAGATACAATATGTTTCACTTTCAATCTGATTAAAACACAGATCCTATTTCGTTTCGTTTTTTTATAGTTTAAAATTTCGTTTTATTTGTCTGTACTACACTAGGAGCGGGATCTTTATATAGCTACGAGAACGTAGCTAAAAACGTTGAGATATACTTATGTGCTTGTTTTTTTTAGCTACGATTGGGTGCCTTTAGTTCCAAGTGGCAAACTCAATTTCTTTATTAATGCATGTAACATCTTAAAAATAAGATAATTTTATACTATATTGACTAATTAAACTTACAGAGGCCAATTTAGTGGCACAACTATCGCCTAACTCCAAATATTCGCCTTTAAATTAATCAAGCGTTGTTTTTATCCGACATACACCGTCATACAGGGTGACCCCCAAAAAATGCCACTCATGAAAACGTCAATTACATGCAAAGTCCTTTTTGCATTTTATTCATATTTGGTACAGATAAACTTTAGTCTATGCCTGACATTTCTACCCAGTTTCAAAGATTTTGGTTTGATCATCATTTTTTATGTCCGTTCCAAGATATGCTCTAAATGTCCACCTCTGCGCTCCAAGCAGACCTGAATCCGACGTGCAAAATTGTCAATTACTCTCACACACTCCTCCCTAGGGATTCTCCTGATTTTGGCAGTGATGGCTGTTTTCAGTTCAGGGATAGTCTGGGGATTGTCCTGGTACACATTAAGGTCCGGCGAGTGTGAGGCCCATTCAGGATCACACCTTCTACTGATGAGATGGTCAGCAAAGCGCTCCCGAAGCCATTCCAGTGATTCATTTGAAGTGTGGGACGTTGCCCCATCCTGCTGGAACCATTGTTCATCTCTCTGAAAACCTCCCCTTCTGTTCAGGATTGTCCAAAACTTCCTAAGGACTTGCAGATAGCGTTCGGTATTGACTGTGACTGCGCGTTCATTTTCATCCTCAAACCAGAAAGGTCCGATTATCCCATGTTTCGATATTGCAACCCATGCTGTGCATTTTATGGAGTGCAGAGGCCTTTGCAGACAGTCCTCAGGAGGTGTTGATTCCCCAGGCAATGTTGTTCTTTGAATTCACATGTCCAGACAAAAGGTCTGCTTGGAGCGCAGAGGTGGACATTAAGAGCATATCTTGGAACGGACATAAAAAATGATGACCAAACCAAAATCTTTGAAACTGGGTAGAAATGTCAGGCATAGACTACAGTTTATTTGTACCAAATGTGAATAAAATGCAAAAAGGACTTTGCATGTAATTGACGTTTTCATGAGTGGCATTTTTTGGGGGGTCACCCTGTACATCTCCCGTTTAAAAATGGCGTTCCTAGTAACGGCTTAACGCCTCGATTTTAAATACGATGATTTATACCCGTTTCAGTAGGACTATATATACTTAATTGTTATTATAAATAACAATAATCAATCGTTGTTTTGATGAAAGATATTGTCAATTTTGCTTAATGAATCCCGATGTGATTTGCGTTGGGCTTTGCTACGTGGAACTATATACGCGACCTGCTGGTTCGTTAGCCTGGAGGTCGGGTGTTCGATCCCTGCATTGGCCGAGAAAGTTCATCCAGATTTTCCGGCGTGGTTTCCCCTTGTCAGTGATGCAGGATGGAGGACCTGACAAGGACAGCTGTCTAGTCTTTCGAATGAGACGAAAAACCGAGGTCCCGTGTATATATTGGAATGCAGGTAAAAGATCCCCTGGCAGTTGGAATTCGATATAAGAGTAGACGATAGTGCCGCTGTCCGGGCAAAATTTGCCTCATAGCACACTGTATGGCGTATGCCCGTCTTCATTAGCCCAGTATAGGAGCAGAACAGTAGGACGTTAAACCCCATTTCATTTCATTTCAGCACCATCTGTTATCTCGAAACACGGAGGGTTGAGAGATGAGGTTTGTTATCTAGATCTTTATGTAGTGTAAGCCATCGAAAGTATAAAAAATACGAAACGAAATATGGATCTGTATTTTAATCAGATTGTTTGACCCTATGCAAAGATTGGACATGATTGGATTTTTAACATCTTGAAAATGATTAATTTCAAAAACAAATCCTAAATTCCACCACTATATTTTCATTAGAAACGAAGAGTAGTAGGAAAGAAGGCTTGACATTTGTCCTATTTACAAATCAACCCATGGCATAACGTACCCCCCCCCCCCCCTCCCAAACGAAAATTGGAGCTCGAGAAAAAAGTCGGAAGGTACGAGCATGGAATCGTAACCTCGACACCCGAATCGATGACAAGGCGCATTCGGTCAAGACCCCCCCCCCCCCCCCACACACACACACACCCTTTTGCCGCACCCGTCCAATATTCTGGATACACCACTATACATAGTGGTGGGATGGGATGGGGATCCATGTGAGACGGACTAAGCTTTAAATAGTGTCCCGACGTGGCATCCTCCTTCATGAAGACCTTACACCACATTCAGTTGCGTAGTCCACATATCTAACAATTTTCGTTGTCTGCTGTATACTGATCTTCAACGGATATTTGCCTATTAATTACCTTACATTGCAGTGGTTTTAATCCGAATTAATAATATAAATGAAAAGAGTAAAGATTATGGATCCCATTACGATACACGTTCAAGTTCTAACCAATCAATATTCAAACATGAATTATTTTGGTACGGTTTACGGTTACACGATGTAAAGATAAGAAATTGATAAATTTTGAAAACCAGCTGATTTGCTTTATTTATGAAAAGACAAAATAATGTAACAGATCTTGGATGATCGGGTACTAAAAAATCAGTTCAACGTTTTTTCGGTTTTTCGTCTTGCCTCTCCTACATAAACATTAATGTTTAAGTATATAGGGCGTCAAATCGATAGAAAATTGATTAAAACGTCTAAATGATTCTAGTTGATTGTATCTGCCCAGAATAGGAAATTGGATTTATTCACTGATGTTCGATATTCTCCTATCAGTTGGCTAACTATCGACTGCTACCAGTCAA